CAAGGGCCCCAAGAAACAAATTTAAGGAAAGACTACAATAATAATTTTTTGTCATTTACTTTTTTAGAATAGTGAGATTAATAGTGTTGAGAAAGTAGTCGGAGGTTGTCAGGGAATTGGAAGCTGCTGATACCTTAAATAATCACAACTGTGAATCATCAGAACAAAAGGGAAAGAAACATAATTGAATTTTGTTTGTAATAATACCCTTTGTAGTGAGGATTAACTGAGAAGGCCAGACACACCCTCAATGCTTAGTTTTTATCATCTCAAACACAAATCTAAAAGTTACTTTCTTATTGCCTAATAATTGCCTTAGAAGTCTTGCTGAGTGAGGAATGATTTTCTTCAGGAAGGTTTATCTCCTAAAAATAGCCACATGCGTCTCTGGGCTTCCCATGTTAAATGATTTCCATGCTTTTTCCCGTGATCTGTAAGCCCCTTTCTGATTTGTAAATTATATTTTAATAGCGTTTATCTCTGGGCTAATCCCTGCTAAGAAACAAAATTCCTAAAATGGCTCCCACTTTCCCAAATCGAGTATGTGCACACGCCAATCAGATAAACGTGTTCAGTGCATTAGCGAGTTGTATTTTGTGTAAACAAAATCTAAATAGAAAAACCACAGCTATAGAAAGTTGTAGATTATAAACATAAGAAGTTACTACACCAAAAAGCATCACCTATGTTTTGTGGAGGCCAATGAATTCATCCTGAGATGTAGCTACAGATTCACATATGGGCAGATTTACATATGGACATTTCATATGTAAAAAATTTTAAATAGGGGCACCTGACTGGCTCAGTCAGTAGAGCATACGACACTTGATCTTGGGGTTTTAGGTTCTCACCCTACATTGGGTGTAGATTACTGAAAAAAAATCTTGAAAAAAATTTAAATAAACTTTGTAAATTAACATTTAGGATTTATCTAGAAAACATGAAAATAGGGGCACCTGGGTGGCTCAGTTGGTTAAGCGTCTGACTTTAGCTCAGGTCACGATCTCACGGTCGGTGAGTTCGAGCCCCGCGTCGGGCTCTGGGCTGATGGCTCAGAGCCTGGAGCCTGCTTCCGATTCTGTGTCTCCCTCTCTCTCTGTCCCTCCCCCATTCATGCTCTGTCTCTCTCTGTCCCAAAAATAAATAAACGTTAAAAAAATTAAAAAAAAAAAAAGAAAACATGAAAATAAAGACATATTCATATTCCAACATCCTACCTGATATTTACCATTTGGCCTTCTTCAGGGCAGTTCAGGGGAGTGTGAAGAAATGGATTTTATAGAATTTTACTGTTAAGGGGTGTTTTTAATAATGTGGGGGAGGGGAAGTTTTCTTGTTCTTTCTTTCTTTTTTTTTTTCCAAGTGGGGAATTTTTAGTATTTATAAAGAAGGGAAGCTGACCAATTAACCCCTAACAGGAGGTACATTGCTGTCATTTGCCAAGTCTTTTGTGCAGTCAGACTGGTCTAGTATACAGGATTTTCCCAACTTATGCTGGATCCTTGAGAAGACCTATAAATAAGACCATTTGTTTGGTCTCAAGATGACTTCCCATTTGCAAACTGAAGAATGTTCCAGTAGAAGTTTCATGGTGACACGCCAATCTGCAAACTGGCTCAGCCAGTAGTCACAACAAGTCACTACGGGATCTGGGAAGCTGAAGTCTTTGAATGGGTCAGATTATCCCACGTCTAATTTGGCACAGATAAATTTGGGCTATAAATATGCAGCTTCCTTTTGTATTTTCAACTTGAACAGTCCAAAGCAAATAGGAAAAATGTGTGGAAACCTGATGGCGATTTAGAAATATGAGAATACTGGGTATAAACTGGAATTTACTTATATTTGCTAGGGTCCTTCTTGTTATTAAAATGACCAGTAGTTCACTAGCATGGAAACACATCATATGTGGTTTGTTCTCTTTTCTCCCAGCTTTATTGAGATATTAACATATAACCTGTGTAAGTTTAAGGTATCTAATGTGTTGATCATATATATATATATATATATATATATGTGTGTGTGTGTGTGTGTGTGTGTGTGTGTATGTGTGTGTATATATATATGTGTGT